TTAAGATGCTAATACAGATCTCTTGGTTCATGACATCTTAAGATTACATCTACTCGACATAATCTTAAATATAAGATCCGATTATGAATACCTGCCTAAGACACATCACTACATATTACATGAATATGGTACTACATCAAAATCGTACGCACACATATATACACTGAAAAAAATGATGTTACATCAGCAGCATGATTTTAACTGAAAAATAATTTTGTTAATTCAATGACACTATTAATGAAACAAATACGTCACATTCTTATTTTGATAAAATATTGTTTGTTTTATTAATACTGCTATTGAATTAACAAAATTATTTTCAATTAAAATAATGCTGATGATACATAATCTTTTTTTCAGTGTAACAAGTTTTCCAACTAACTCATCTTTCATTCTAGATATCTCAGCCTAATTCTAAGAACTCAACACTGTTTGTACGTATAATTATCTCTAGTTCAAACCAAGATACACAAAGTATACAAAACTCATTGATACTGATATATTAGTATCTTTTACGAGACACTTCCTGATTTCTTGAAAACTAACTATTACTCCGAATCTACAATAGAGTTTTAAACCTTAAGCCATAAGAAACGGACGAATCATAATCGATTATTCTCCTCGAATTCGACTGTAATTAGTTAATTTCTTACGGCTTAAGGTTTAAAACATCTATTGTAGATCCGGGGTTACACTTTATTAAAACAAATATGAAGCTTCAATGTTAGCTCTTGTTCAAGAAATATTGTCTAGAAATATTTATTTTTCTGAAGTTTTAATTTCACCTTTTGTTTAAGACATATATTATCTGAACATAAAAAATGGTATATTGATATCGGTGACCTTCCTCTATATAAAGCAAACATTGTTACGAACTGATGTTAGAAACCGGTAACAATACTATTCAAAAATAAATTATTCAACCTTTTTTTTATTTTTGGTGTAAAATCGACCAGATTTTACTACATTATTACTTATTTATGGTTACTTCAATTGTAGAAAAGAATATTTATATCTGTGTAAAGGCAATTAGAAAAAAATATTTATTTGAAAAATAACCAATAAAACAAACGACTTTAGGATTCCTTAAATCTCAAGCCATAAGAAATTGACTAATTGTAGTCGTATATTATTCTCTCTACATTCGATCGTGTGATTAATCAATTTCTTACGACTTATACCCCTTTCAGTAGTTTTAATTTTAATCTCAGTTCAATTAATTATTTATTCTTCCAGTTCTAATGTCCATTTCTATCGATATAATTTGAATCTCGGCTAAATTTGCATAACTAAAAAAAGATAAAGAACAAGTTAAACCGAGAATAAATTAAAATTACTCTTATACATTGGCAGAAAAGAGCATCTTAAATCTTAAGTCTTAAAATCTCGCTCAACACTTTAAGATCTCATTGTAGACGTTGTTTAAGATCGACTTGAGCATAGAAATTCTTTTTCACGAGTTTCGAAATCTCTCGCGTACATCATGTTTTATCACGTTCAGCAGATATGAGTCGTCGCGCGCGTATCGCGACGACAGACAGGAAAGCCATAGGCGAGCGGAAAGCAGTATAGAGATTTGCTCCTAATCCCGATGTGTGTCGGCTTGGTACGCGCTCCAGCTTGGTGGGACAAAAATATCCCCGATGAAAGGACGCGCGTCCCTTTTCTTTTGAAGACACGCGCGAACAGCTGACGAAAATAACAAACGCGACGCATACAGAGACACGACAATTCCAAACGTCCTTCGCTCACGAGTGATTGTTTAATTACTCACCGTTGACTCGTCGCGTCGCATCGGCCGTCATGCGAAGAGAATACTCAATGTGAAAAAAAAACCGTCACGTACCGTCGAGTATCTAATAAACGGCTAATAAATCTCAGACACCGGCTTTAAATCGCGACAACAATCGGACACTCTCGGGGCGCGTAAACACGACACCTGCCGCATATATACGCGCGGACAAAGGCGAAAGCGGCAGGGGCCCCGTTTTCACCAGATCGCCGCCAGATCAGATGAGATTGTGGACGAGCGCGGGGAGGAGTGACGGGGCACGCGGAGGAGCCGGATCGGCGAAGCCAAATCAAACGAAGCCGAGAGACGGAGGAAGCTAGAGAGAACGTACCTATCACGTACCTACATATATGAAAGTTCCACTCACCTAACCTTCCGGCGTCGACGGTCCTGCGGCCGGTTTGCGCGGCACGGCGCGTACCGTCCCAGACTTGCGGCACGCAGCAGGCGAGGACGCGCGTCCTTGCACGCGCCCGATGCGGGATGCACGTATCGGGGAGCACGCACGAGTTACGCGACGGCGGAGGCATCAATGGATAGTAGGAGAGACGCGTGAGTTAACGGTAACGTCTTGGCCATGTCGGGAGAGGAGCGAAAGGGAGTGGGTGGGAGGGGTGGAAAGGAGGAAAGCGGAGAAAGAGAGCGAGAGGTACGCGAGAGTGGGGAGAGAGACGCCGCGCCGCGCGCGCATACGCACGCACCGAGTCGCGCGGAGAGATCATCCAAGACATTATTCTGTACCTCACTCGTCACTTGCCGACGATCGCATCCCTCCTCGATGACACGTATGAAGGAAAGCAAGCTCTTTTATTCTTTTTCCTTTCCTTCCGGCATTCCTGCGTGAACCACACGTCAATACGCACCGACGCACTCGGCAATTCGGCACTGTAGCGTTTGGCATTTACAGCTGCTGCTTATATCGCCACCGAAAACAACGTGTCAGTGGCGCCAACGTGCGGCCATCCGTGAAAAGTTGCATATATACGACTTGTCGATAAATTATCCGTATATATATAAATTCTATTATAGGTAATTACAGACTATTGATATTATCGACGTGGATGTAAATATTTAAACTGATGGTCGATAACATAAATATTTAAATTGTTTTTACACACAATGCAGTGTTATATTATTATCATGATATGTATTATATAATAAACATGCATAATTTATACATTAAATAGGATAATTGCTTGGGTACATCAGCTATTATTGTAACTTTGTGACGTTGTGCTCAATTTTTTTGTATTTATTTTATACTTTTAAATTTTTAATTTTTTATGTGTGACAATAAATATTACAAAAATTTTAACATATCTAACATTGCTATATTAAAAATTAAATTTGGGATGTAATAAAATTATTAAGTCCGTGAAAACCATTTCCAAATAGGTATGACATCGGACAACGTCCATACAATATGCATAAAAAAAACTAAATTTGATATCTCGCTATGGGTATGGTAAACAAATTTGATAAATATAGATGTGCGCTAATTATTAGTTTGATTAAAAGTTGATAACAAATCATTTATATTTTTTCATTGATAATATAAAATAATAAGTAAGAATAAAGATTTATAACGTACCACTCTAATGTAAAGCAGCTCATTTCATAAGATGAGATAATATTACATCTACAATTACAATAAGTGAAGATAACGAAATAGCGTTTTTCACTGGCAGAGCACTCAGTGTACTTTAAATACCTTTGTACACAAATCGACATAAAAATATATATATATATATGTTTAATAAAAATAAAAAAATGAGTAAAAAAAAACCGTAAAATCTTCAATATATTTTATTGCGTTATTTGACAAAATACACAATAGACATTTTATCAATTGAGATATCTCGCTTTAATATCAGATTAAAGTAGTGTATAACGACTTTTTAATGTGCATTGAGCGCACTAGCCTTGCCAGTGAAAAACGCTATAAAGTTGCTGTTCTCGAAGAAATATTACACAAGAATTAACTGCATATACATCAAGTTACGAGTAACATCTTTCTTTTAGTATGCGTTATAATTTTAATTTTCTGCGACATTATTAACAATAACATTGAAAATGACTTCGTTTGAGGTAGAAACGTTTGTTTTGTTGAAAATTTATTATTAAATGTATTTTTGTTTCGCAGCTGTTTTTATAATTGTTCTTAACACGTCCCTGTTAAAAAAATTTTTAATTGTATTTATTGATCCCTAGCTCTTGTTTTTCATAATCGTTCACTTAAAATATTCATTTCGTAGTGCAAAAACGCTACATCCCTATACGAAGAATAAATTCAAATCAACAGCGTATATTAGTTCCCTATATTGCAGATGGCAGTAAAATACGGAAACAATTGTCAATATTTTCATGGTGATCAGAGTAGTTGACAGCGCTTGAGTCGTTGAGTTTTCGTTCGCAATTTTGTTCGTCGGAACGTTGAAACCGTATCGGTTTTTATCGTCAGTATTATTATGCGCGATCGTTATTCCGGTACGGTACGACAGGAAATATGATAATCACCCATATGGTCTAGCCTGTTTGATAATAACATGCTACTAATATATGATAAGCTGCGCAAGTCTGCAAGCTACTTTAAAGTGAGACTCGTCGGGCGAGTAATCGTCGACGGATCGCGAAGAGTTTGTAACAGCGAAAAAACGCAGGAGGTGACACATGTGTGTCACATCGTAAAGTAACCTAACGATCTTTCTGCTTGGTCTTCGCGAGTGTCCCATTTATTTTCAACACTACGGTGTAACGTGAATCAGGTATGAGTCCTATTTTATTGAATGCTTTATTGATATTCGATATTTCCTTGGCATCATTTTCTTCATATCACACTTTTTCAATCTTAGATAACATGTTCAGCTCTAAATTAAAGTATACATTTTATAATGTATTTTTTTTTAATTATTTTTTGTAGATTAATATTTTTGTTAATATTATAATTTATATCTATGTGTTGATGTGTTGAAACTAATGTTTTCTTATGTTACATACCGAAATTATACTTTATTTGTTTTATCATTTAATTGTATCAAAATAATACATTGTAATGTATTTATTTTACATGATATTATTACTATATTTATATGATTTCTATGTTACTTCTGTTATACTATATATTGTTGTTTTAAAAAAATATTTTTATTAATGTAAAATTAAAAAGAAAGTACTTATATGTAATTTCAAATTTTGTTGTACAGCTAACATGATTGGAATATATCGCCTGGGATTATATTTATTATTATTCGAAAGCTGCATTGGCAATTATGCCAGATGGAACGTACAATTGTTATGTCCAGATCTATATCAACGAGTGTTCACAAGTTATTTACCTCGTGGAAATTTGACTGGTGGAACTTATACAAAACAAACTCACTTGTCCAACTTGGAAGACTGTGCTATGGCCTGTTGCAAAAAACCCTTGTGTAATGTAGCATTTATGTACAATGATACATGTTATCATGTAGAATGCAAGAGCTCCATGGTATGTGTACCGCTATATAGACCCGAATTAGCAAATGATAATCCACCGAGCATGATATTGGTTAGACCTGTAGAAAGTAACAAAGTATGGAGTGATATATTAGATCAAGTCAGTGAAGATACTGCTGGGTAAGTTTAATTTAAAATTAAATAAACATCTATTATTAAACAATTTTTTCCTTTTGAGCAATAAATATATAATAATCACGTATGTTTAGAACATTCAGTACAGACGGCACAGAGCAAGATCAAGTACTGTTTAACGAAGCAAGTAGAATCAATATTATCAATTGTATGGATCAATCAGGTTGCCTAGATAACGAAATTTGCGTAAAACATGGAGATACCGATGTTGGAACTTGTCAATGTCCTTTAGACTTTAAGCGGAATATTGCTGGTATGTTTTGATTTTAATCATTTGTGCAATGTAGTAGAATGTTTTTGATTTTTATATGAATTTTTAACTCTATTATATAAGAATTTTCTTTAACATCAAGTTTATTTTTGAAAAAATAGAATTTAAGATTAATTATATTTTAAATATATATTATTTATATCTATAATCTTGCAGGTACTTGTACAATGACAGATGAGATAGACACTGGTGAGCTCGGTGTAACACAACAAATAAAAGTTGCAACTATAAAAGAAACCAGCACGTTAATTAAGCCGACTATGAAGCAATTAGTAGTCTCAGCAATTTCTAAAGAAGTGAGATTACCAGAAAATGAAGCTACGTTGTCCGCGTATACTGTCCCTGCTGAACGGGGCCATCAACATTATAATTACGTTTGGAGTTTGCTTAGTCAACCAGAAGGACACACTGGAACAATGACAGATCAAAATCGTGGTACTGTTAAATTAAGTAATTTATCAGAAGGCTTATATACGTTTAAGGTAGCTGTAAGCAGTCCGAATGCTTATGGAGAAGCTTATGCCAATGTCAGCGTTTTACCTCGTAAGTTCTTTAAAAAAAATTTCTTTATTAAGTATTGATTCTTTTTAATCTGAGTGTTTATTTTAGCAAAACGTATCAATCAAGCACCAATTGCCATAATTACTCCTGCTTCGCAAATTGTAAAACTACCAAATACAGGCGCGGTCTTAGATGGTTCGAATAGTAAAGATGATGATCGTGTTATCTCTTATCATTGGGAACTGCAACAAGGCCCAATTGGATATCAGCCTAACCTTGTGGATACACCCACACTTCAATTAAATAATCTTATTGCTGGCAATTACACATTCAAGTTAGTACTAACTGTGTTACTGCTAGTATAATTATACAATACAATATCGACAAGTGTTTTCTGTATGTTTCTTAAAGCTCTTCCTCACCATAGCCGATCAACATACTGGTTTCTTCCTTATTTAAAGAAGAAAAAGAAACCACTATGCATTATTGGCACGGTAGAGCCTTTAGATAGAAATATTGATTATTTTTATATAATTTATTTTTACAGATTAACAGTTGAAGATTCAAATCACGTTACAAATTCGACAAGTGCCAATATAACTGTCTTGAAAGTAATCGACTATCCCCCGAGTGCAAACGCAGGCCAAGACGTTATCATTTATCTACCTCAAAATACATTGACACTTAATGGTAATTTAAGTACTGACGATCGAGGAATAGCCAGTTGGGAGTGGACCAAAAGTCCATCTGATCAGAATAAAGCAGTGGATATGCAGAACACAAGAACACCTTACTTACAATTATCTAACTTGGAGGAAGGAATGTATACATTTGTACTTAAAGTAACAGACGATTCCGAGCAATCTTCCACAGCGGAAGTGCATGTCTTTGTGAAACCTCCAACGAATAAACCACCAAAGGGTAGATACCGTTTTTGTTATCAATATTTAAAATTATCAAATTTTCTAACTATGCAGTGGCGTTAATTTTAAATGTGCCGCTTCTTATGTAATTTTAATTAATTTTATTGTAGCCAATGCTGGTGATGATATAAGCATAGCATTACCGACAACCCGCGCTGTTCTGAATGGCACAAGAAGTAAGGATGATATAAAAATTGTCTTGTATCATTGGGAGCAAGTAAGGTACAATGTATCTAATTAAATTACATCTTGTTATATGTATATATCATGTAGCTTAGATTTGAAAATATATCGTTCGTGTTACAGCGGGCCTAATAACGCTGAATTTGCTACAGTTAATGAATCCGTCACAAATATTGCAAAACTAACTAAAGGTGATTATATATTTAAATTGACTGTTGTTGATGATAATGGAAACGCGGATTCGGATACGGTTAATGTGAAGGTAACACAAAGTAAGTATTATCACCCAATCGTATTATTATATTGTGCGATGTATATTACAAATTTTATTTTCTAGATAAAAATGCACCTCCAAAAGCGAATGCTGGTGGCGATCAAGTTGTAACGGCACCGATCAGCGCGTTAATAATCAATGGCTCGCAGTCGAGCGATGATTTAAGGATAGGACAATGGCTGTGGACCAGAGATCAATCTAGTCTTGCGATTGGCACTATAATTCAAAATACGGATAAATCACCTGTCTTAATGGTAAAATTAAAATGTCAATTTTATTTGATTGTATACACAATGTATATACATATGCACAAATACATATATTTATGTTGTCTTTTTTTTACAGTTAACAGATATAGTTCCTGGGCGTTATGTCTTTCGATTAAAAGTAATGGATGATCAAGGTCTGAGCAGTGAAGACACCGTGTCAGTAATTGTGAAACCTGGTTAGTATCGATTAGAAAAAAGTGTATCATATATTTTGTAATGTGATAACTTAAAAGAAATTAACTTTCTCTTTCTATTTCATAGATCCGCAGTTGTTGTATTTGGTAGAATTAACACTAAACATTGGGGCTAGCATGTTAACTGTTTCACAGAAAAATTCGTTGGTAGTGAAACTGCAGATGTTATTGCGAGACGAAGCTTCAATTGTTGTGCGAAATTTGAGAGCGGAACCACATACTGGAAAAGCCGTTTTAATATTTTATGTGGAAAAAAAGGGAGGAAAAACAATATTACCAGGTCCAGAAGTAGTCAAGAGACTAAAAGAAAAGTTATTACAAGATTCCGGTCTTTTACAACTATCGGTTGCTAATATAGATACCGCTGTATGCCAAAATAATTGTTCAGGTACATTTTATAGCGTCGAGATACTACCGTGTCTCCAGATATTGAAAATATAAAATATTAAAGTATTATACAATATGAAATGTGCAAAAACTAAAATATCTTACGTAAAAAATAAAAATAAAAGTAGAATTCTGTTTAGGTCATGGTGTATGTGATCAAGAGACAAGGCAATGCTTGTGTGAAGCATTTTGGATGCAGAATTTAATACAAAAGTATTTTGGTAATGGAGACTCTAATTGTGGTATGTTAAATTTTTCTTTCTATTTTTCAACATTACCTAACATACAGTGTCTCAATGATCTCAATGTGTGTATATATATATATATATATATATATATATATCTTTTATTTTATATACATTTTATGTGCATTTTTTAACACAGTTTATCTTTTATTTTATATTATATTTCAATCTCTTCTTTTTTCAGATTGGAGCATTTTATATGTAATAATAGCATTGCTATCATTGGTTATATGCTGGGTTGGATTTATTTGGGGTCTTGTTTGCTTGTGTCAAAGAATATGCGCTAGTAAAAGACGTTTGCTTCGGCCTAAGAAGAAGCCACCACGTTATTCTTTGTTACAGCCAGAGCCAGAAGATGATAGCAGTGCATGTATGTGTAACTTTTTAATAATAATCAGTGTTTTGAATTATTTATTATTATCACTGTACAACATTGTCTAAATGGTAGAGTTTTTTTTAATGTCAGTTCAGATAAAAAAGGATTAAAATTATAGAAGTTTATTATTTAAAACATTTTAGTTTACTACTATTTCTTGCTCAAATCATTTTAAGAATTATCTCTTTAAAATATTTGCATGTATCCAAAAATATTTGAATATACATCACATGTTTATTTATTATAGTTACAAAATTATAATAATCTTCTTCTTGTATAGTTTCAACTCATAACAAGATGGTGTTATCAGAATCTGACACAGATTCTGATGATATTTTGTTTGAACATCGTAAGAGTAAAAGTGGTAGTCATATAAGAAATGGTAAATCTCGGAATGGATTTATCAAAGTCGGTCCTCGAGTAAAAACATGAGGTAATAGCACAGTAAATTCATGATATGTTGAGAGACATGATAATCAAGATATTTTATATCTAAATTTTATTAAGTTTCAGAAATGCAACGATAGTGGTACAAATATAAATAGCGCACAGTTGTGTCAGTTTGGCCAAATTTGAAATACTAGTCATGAAGGTGTCAGTTGACATATGACCTTATGAGAATGGTCGCCTTCAGAGTCTGTATTGATAACAATGTTCTAAGAAGGTAGATAGATTTTAAGCATTATTTATAGATATATACGATAATAATAATGTCACATTACTTAATTCGTCTTAAGTATTATTAATTAATTTTATTCTGTACTTATCATGTGATCCTAACTGCGCCAACGATTGCTGATGCAATAAAAGTAGCGTCATGTAATCGTCAATCTATTTGAGAGCTTGTCTAAGTATTATTATGGCCTTAGAAAGTATTTCAATTAAAAAGTTGATATGTATAGTAATACTGTATGAGGTCTGTATGTCATTTATATGTACTGCTTACTCTTTAATATACATTGCCGATCTTATTTTTACACTACGTGGATACTAAATAAAATTTATTATCTATATTTAGATTTTATTACTTATTCCTCGCATTCACCTACTTTTGAAATACTTCGAAAAAAACATCGCTTTAATATTAAAAGTGTATTTTGCTTCCGATATTATTTAAATAATTCTTATTCACTTAATTTAAAAAATCTTATTTCTCTGAAAGAATTTATTATTAAATGAGGGTCTCTTCCTAATAAATTACATGAATATCCAATATTTTTATTCACTTTCTGTGCTAGCAAACGTTTATGCAGAATAATAAATTTTTCCACATTTCATCAAATTGAGATGATCTTGATATTAAAGATATTTATAATTTCGCAACCGGAGCAGCGAAGATTTCGCATTTCAAGACAAATTCAACATGCGTCTGGCTCATAGCCTATGTGTGTGTGTGTGTTTTAAAGTTATTTTTAACCCACTACGCCGTTGGAGAATAAGTTTTAAGTAGTAGGAAGACTTCGTACGGCCCGTTGACTTATTCTTTTGCATCTCCTGTCAATTGTACCTTAATTTTTTGGTAAGTCATTGCGATTTTCATATCAGTTAGAAAAAAAATACATATTGTATTTTTATTACAGCTGCATTTTTAGCGTAATCGATGGATTTCGTAAATTGTTCAGCAAAACGTTCTTCGAAAAATTGTTGCGGTCGTGAGACTACGGTAGACAGTGAACTTGGAAGCTGCGATCATATTTACGCAAATTTGGTCGAATGCAAGAACAAAGGTATAAATACTGAAGATTTTGTTCACGTTGAACCAATGACAATAGCATCTACGAACAAACGGTGAGTGTGGTACCTCTTTAAATTAAAACTTATTAATGTTGATATTAATATATAACATATTTAATATACAAAGCCTCTTTGAATTGAGTTAAAATTAATTCAACTATAAAAAAAAAACTAATTGCACAGCTGATGCGAATAGAATTTTTAAGACTAAAATTTTTACAAAGATTATAAATGGTCTTGATATTATTTTTAGTAACGAAGATTCCAGAAAAAGGTGTGCACCTTCGCCGAATTCGAATGTTTTTGCACACCAGTCTTCCCCCGTTTTCATTCGCAACAAAATGGCCAGCGAAGTTGAAGAAGATCCGAGAGAACCGATTCATTCTTCATATAGATTGCCGCACGATGTAGACTTCCAATGCCCTAGATGTGGGCAGAGAATGGAGGAACCTAGACTCCTTCCTTGTTTACATCCTATATGTTTATCTTGCGTTTACGAATTGATGAGTAAATGTAAGTAACAAAAAAGAAAAATTTGATTTCAACAAAGAGGAAAACATAATTCAATATTTTTAATAATAATATTAATGTAATTGTTATAATCGTGTCTTTGTGAAGTTAGCACCTCAACTTTAAAAATCGGAAATTTTAATAACAGTACTGCTTGCACCCGCAATAGTTCTAGAGTTCCTGATAGGTTTCATCAATAGTACTGTTGATTTAAGCCAAAAATTTTAAAAAATAAAAATATGCGGTGCTAACTTCGCGTGGCACCGCAAGATTTGAAAAAGCCGATTTTTATGACGGAATCTCACAATACTCGAAGAGTACTACAATTCCTGATCGATTATAACAATAGTACCGGCCAGTAAATATTTTTAAATAAATTTTTTAAAAAAAAGCTCGCACGTCAACTTTCAAAAAAATTTTTTTTTTGCGCCATTTTGTAGTACTCGAAGAGTACTACAGTTCCTGATCGGTTTTAGTGACACTACCTACCTTTTTAATATGTTTAAACAATTTTTCGATCCGCGTGCTGGTACCACACATCAAGAGTAAAGTGCCTCCAAACAGACAGTACACTGGTTTAGTGGCACTTTACTCTTGACGTGTGGTGCCAGCGAAAAACTTAAAAAATTATTTAAACATATTAAACGACCAGTACTCGCGTCGAAACCTGCATATTTCTTCGGAACTACTGTAGTACTGTCGGAAAAAGTCAAAAAGTCGGCCAGTACTGTCTGTTTGGAGGTACTTTACTCTTGATGTGTGGTGCCAGTGGATCGAAAAATTGTTTAAACATATTAAAAAGGCTGGTAGTGTCACTAAAACCAATCAGGAACTGTAGTACTCTTCGAGTACTACAAAATGGCGCAAAACAAAAAAATTTTTTTTAAAGTTGAGGTGCGAGCTCTTTTTTCGAAAATTTATTTAAAAATTATTTAATGGCCAGTACTATTGTTATAATCGATCAGGAACTGTAGTACTCTTCGAGTACTGTGAGATTCCGTCATAAAAATCGGCTTTTTCAAATCTTGCCGTGCCACGAGAAGTTAGCACCGCATATTTTTATTTTTTAAAATTTTTGGCCTAAATCAACAGTACTATTGATGAAACCTATCAGGAACTCTAGAACTATTGCGGGTGCAAGCAGTACTGTTATTAAAATTTCCGATTTTTAAAGTTGAGGTGCTAACTTCACAGAGACTATAATCGTTGACTTTTGATTTGTTATGAAGACACACTGATAGAATTATATGCTTGCAGCTCTGAATGGTCCCTCAAAGAGCGAAATACGAGATAAAAATCGAATTTACACACAACCCGACATTTACGAAACATGTCCGTTATGTGACTCGCATTTGCCGAATGCTAATTCTGCCATACCGCCACCGCATTATCCCTTGCAACACCGTTCAGTTATGGATACCGTGCGACGTAAACTGATCAATAGAGTACTTTGCGATACCTGCACAGGCGAAGTTCTGGTACAATCCAATCTGCGACAATCTAGATATTATTGCATTCTTTAAAATTTTCATTTTATCAGTAGAAATCAGTAAAGTAGAAATGTTTTTATATTTTTCTACATGTTATTCTTTTAAGGCACTTATACAGTGTTCAACGTGTTTGCGTAATTTTTGCTCGGAATGCGGCAGGCAACATGAACAACAAAACATTGCGGAAGCAAGAACAATTAAACATTTAATGAGGCCATTATGGGAGGCTACCAAAATACGACGAACGATTTTATGTCAAATACACCCGACGCACGCTTTAAGATTTTATTGCATCGCTTGTCAACAGGTTTCTAAAATTTGTTTCATGTACTTTCAATGTTATGATCGTACAAATTCATTTTTGTTTAGTCTAAATGACTTACTATTTTATAGGATTTATAAATAAACCATAATATACATTTTTAGATAACGTGCAAGGAATGCATGTGGAGTATACAGCATAGAGGTCATGCTAGTGAAAACGCTGTTGGAGTGGGAAAAAGAGTTGGTACGTACTTAGCAACAATGTTACAAAAAGCAAAGATGTATTTAAATAATCTATTGGTTCAATACAACCATGATGTATTTTCAACTAATAATTTTGAAGAAGCACACAACATAGCCAAGATTTACAGGTATGTTTATTTATTTATTGAAACATAAATTCTGAAACATTGTACGATGAGTTTTACATAGCTTGCATTTGCACAATGCGATTTATATAATTTCCAGTTTTGTAATATATAATATAAAAATAATTAATACATTAAACAAGGCGAATAAGAGTCAAATTACAATTAAAAATTTAAGTCTGATAATTTATTCTAATATTATATATTGCGAAGAATATCATGTAATTTTTGGCGTTTCGTCTCAGCTTCCACTACTGGACTCATCAGTAAGACATTGTAGTGGAAGCCTACCTTATACGCCTTGGTAAGTTATTAAATCGAGATTCTGTATAAAAGAGATATACGCGTGTCTCAGCACTTACGAGAATTTGTGAATATCGATAGACCTCTGATGGCGAGTCGACGTAGTGATATTTTTCGCAATATTTATCCAAAGTAGGAAATAACGTACTATTAATATATATGTAGTCCTCCCAAATTGTAATATATAAATTTATAGATTTAAAACTTACTACACACATGCGCGCGCACGCGCACGCGCACACACAATGTTTCAAAATTTATGAATGTTTTATTTTTATATGTTAAAAATGCAGCGTTCGATGTAGATAAGATCATGCACAAATGTGCATGCACTAATTCTTATTAGTATTAGTACACTGTAATATAATTGTCATGTGATTAATATGGGAATAATAAACGAAAAAGATATTGTCATTTGAGGTATAAAGCATACATTCCAAAGCTCTTTGACTGATACATAAACCGACTAGAGAAATATTAATTATATGATTTGAATATATTTTTGTTAATATAACATTAAGAAAAATATTGAGCGAGAAGCAAGTTATATTGCGACTGATGTATGTTTTGAAACATGTTATGTTTACGTTTAATTAAATATATATAGTACGAACATTTGTAACTAATAATAAATAATACAAATGTAAATAGCACCTAATTTTATGTCTATACCTTATATATGCGTAAATATATTGACAAAGATATTAAGGATATATATATGCATGTATATATAAAATATGTGTATGTGTGTATATATATATACATATTTTAGATATATATATATATAAATTAATATAATTTAAATGTGTGAGCGTGTGCGTGCATACGTGTGTGTATGTGCGTGTGATTAATAGATATCAATTTATATACATTGTTATACATACATTTTGTCTAAACAGCGATAAAATTAAGGTAAAATAAAAAGCATTACGTTATACATTCCATATTTTCTCTATTTTTCTTACTTTTCCGCTTTTTCGAGTGGAGGTGCTCAATAATCATCGTTTGTCAAGCATCATGCATATGATTTAAAAACTATTAATTTTAATGATCAAACTATTGCATAATAAAATTTCAATATTGTATATAATATTACCTTTTTTGCTTGAAATAAAAAATTTGTTTTTTTTTTTAGTTAAACTAGTGTACACTTTTGGAACTTAAAGTGAAACAAGTACATATGTATTATATTTAGCGAAAGCAAGAAAGAGAATTCTAGTACAGAAATAAAAAAAAATAGATCTAAAGTTTTATACAACTTTCAAATCAAAAGTTTCTAATTTTAAAAAACTGTAGTTGTGTGCATATAAAATTGTTTTAAAAATTATAAATTCGAATATCTCAAAATTGATAACATATAAATATACTTAATCTTTTGAAATAATATTTTCATCTCTTAAAAATTAAGGAGTAATTTATGTTTCCTTTTTTTTTTAAACTAGAATATCTGAATTAAATTTATAAACAAAGAGAGATATATTTATTAATTTATTAAGACTTACAATACAAGTTGATGCATAGTTTTTCGTATAATTAAACAATGTCCATTACGTAATATAGATCCACAGCAAGACCAATGATTAAAACCTGGATGTCCAATATGTCCATGACCACAACCTTTGTACCCACCTTTACAAAAATTAATTTATCCTTTATCTATAATTGCTTATGTTTAAATTGTAAATAGGGCTTATTAAAAATTGCTCTTTTATATGTAAATATATTCCAATACAGATTTCATTTCTAAAATTAATTTTTACCAGGCATAGTGCCTCTACAGCCACAAATAATTTCCTTTTTTCCTCCACTGGAACAAAATGTACAACAGTGATAAATACCGTTATGTGTAAGCCTCGAAGCTGATAATCTCGTATTTTTATACCAATTTTCTGTAAAAAGAATATAATACAATACATATAAATTTTCTTTATATGTATATAAAATTATACTTTATATAAAATTTATTCTTATATCATACGTCATAAAAAATATCGAATGCGTACCGTTTTCCTTGTCTGCCATTATATTTGTCACACCCAACTTTTTTAATCTTTTCACTATTATTTCAGCAAGTGATAGTATTTCTATTTCGGATCCATCAGCAAGCAAATCGTTTAGTAATGAAATAGCATCCAGAAGATGTCGCGCTTTTTGTAAACGTTCAAATTCTTGAATTCTTTCTCGAGCCTGTTTCATGTGGAGTAATATAATTTTGTAGTCTTGTACATTTGAATCTGTGTTATTCTCAAAGTATCTGTGTAAAGAAAATTCTTATTTACTTCAAGCATACCTCCAGATAGAGCCTCACATACGTATTCTTAAATAACAGTAAATCTTTATATAAAGATAGTAATTGTAAATATAAGGGTCACTTAAATGGGAATATTATGAACTAGTTTTTTCTTTCATTATATGTAACACATTAAATATACAAAAAGTCATTGGATGCTGCTCGAGATAACTTATTTTGCATTTTATCATATAATAATTTTTATTTAAACATTTTGTTAATTATTATTATTTTTAACATACATATATAAATGTAAAACCGTTTCATTGTCATTTGAGGTACTGCTACATCAGTAAAATCGGTAGAAAGCATAATTTTTTTTTAGCGATTGTTGTATTTTATCAATAATTTTATCTTACTTTAAAAATATTGTTAAAATTAATTAATAAAATTAGCGGCGAAGCTTAATGGCGAAGAACATAGAAATTTCCAAGTACAAATAGATATCTTACATCTAAGAAACTCTAATACTTATACATATGAACCTCCATTTTATATATTTTCTAAAATAAAAAAATAGAACTAGCCCCTGAATTTGTAAATCTAAACTTAAACAACTTTTTTAGCATATATAGGTATGTAAAAGTAATTTAACTATAGGCATTATTATCAAAATATGAAGACGCTATATATTGCAACTAAGAGCTACTCCTAGAAAGTCTTCAAATGCAATAGTGATTGTTCCAGTTTGTTGCGTATCTCTTGTTCTAAATGCATCTGTAACATATAAAGTGTAATTAGTAATGCTATAAATGCTTTGAAACATTCTTCAATTGATCAATTTATAAAATTTATTTTTTTAATTAATCACTCAAATGCTTCAAAGTCTTTGTAGTAAGACTTTAATTACATCCACATTTTAGTACACATGCTTAAATTATATTAAATATTGTCAACTAGTACAGATGTTTACAATTAGCATTAAATCTCTAAATAAATCAGGAAATGATACCTTATAAAATCCTATTCCTTCTACATAAGTATCTGTAGTTACCTGTAAACCTTTGTATTTGAACACACAATACTATAAATTGGTCGATAGTAATAGACTGATGACTGCGAACATCGCTCTTTTTTATGAGAAATTGAATAAACTCTGGACTAAGCTTATAGCCCATTTGTGTCAGGGCTGCGCTTAATTCATTCTCTTGAATACTACCTGAATTATCATGATCAAAACCACGAAATACACCAAGCCAAGCATTTATGTAATTGTAAAGAGCTTGAAATTCCGTTATATTTATAGTGCCATTATTTTCTTTGTCAAACATGCCTGCAAAGGAAATAAAATTAATATGGTTGATATTTTTTTTACAGCTTGTGAAGAGAATTCAAGATTTATATAACATATATTGTACTTTATTTATTATACAAGCTCTACAAACATACCAATCATTAATTTGCACGCTGTGTCAGAGAAAGTACCCCCTTGACCATTGGCCAATGCAGATTGTAATTCTGCAGCAGTTATTCGTCCACTTCTGTCCCTGTCCACTGTGGAGAACCACCGTTGTATCTCGGGATTTATTCCTGATCCTGGATCAGTGGAGCCGTACATTGCGCTCTTGAAGGAACGGATAAGATAAATACAATGGAGAAAAATAATAAAATTGTATACAAGCTATAAACGGAGTCAGATGCCAAATTGTCATAGTGCATCAGAGCTAATTTGTATTAATTTAACGTGCACATATCAGGCGATTCGGAGCTTTATAATAAACTGAAATGATAGAATAAAGCGTGCATCGTCATATTATCATTGCGTGCAAGTGTAATTGTCGTACTGTTATTCAGAATTACCGGGTATGCCATGATTGAAACTTTCTAACCCTAGGACAGCACACAAATTACAGTATATATATTCTATATATCGAAATATTCTTGTTAAAGGTTTTAGACTGTCATCAGCGTTATCACGAGACTCTGCGTTATCAACAGCATTACGTAATAATGTACGCATTCATGCAATAATAACATCTTTGTCAAAACATATCGAACAGCTGTAAAAGAAACTTACGATTTTTATGACGTAGATAAGACAGAATAGAGCATAAACCAATAAACGTTTAGTTTAGAACATTAGACATATATAACGTTAGGCCGGATTTATAATAGAGTTTTAAGCTTTAAGCCATAAGAAATGGACGAATCATAATCGATTATTCTCCTCGAATTCAAGTCTAATTGGTTAATTTCTTACGGCTTAAGGTTTGAAACACGTATTGTAGGTCCAGATTAATGGGACTCTCAAGAGGTTGCCGCACACAAAATTCCGTAACAGTGACGGAAAGAAACGCAATGTTGATTGGTTTACACATTCCATTTTAAGTTTGTTCACATCGCTTAAAAAGCTCTACAAAATTAGAATTTAAAATAAGATAGATATGTAGACGAAAGAGAGAAAGCGAAGATACACTGATTGCAAAATGTGCAAATGCGAACAAACCTTTTATTCTGATAAAATCAAAATGATAATTTTTTTTGTTAAAAAATTTAATTGTTTTTTTGGTGTTAAGAATAAAAATAACGTCATTTTTACTTTTTATTGTCTTTTATGTGTTTTTAGGTCCAGTGAGAAAGTAAAAGCAAATAATAAGTTAATACAATGGTATGTTGTAGAATACGGCCGGTTCTCTCTCCAAATCAATACGTAAATCTCAATTTTTTTTATTTTCAAGGGACCTCCTTTTTCTGAAATAATTAAATAATATTCGGACAATATTATATATTTCTTTTTACAACAAATATACAATTAAAGATTTTATCGTTTATTTGGTTAAAATTAAATCTCTATATTTTAATCAAATAACAATTTTATTTTATTTTACTAACGATTTTATATTATAACGTTCAACTTTGCCTCGTAGCCCTTTTTTCTTGTATTTTTAAAGATTAAAGGTAGGAATACCTTTCCGAAAAAAGGAGCGAAGTAGCCAGAGTCTAAGCACCATTCCGCTCAACTATTTAAGGAAAAACAAATTAATTTGTAACATTAAGAAAAATAAAACCATGTATACGAGTCTCATAAACAAACAAACATAAAATAAATAAAATAATACTGGTTCTCGTCGATCAACCGAAATCAAGCAAATATTAGAGAGACTGTGGTAGTACTTGGGATGGGTGGACCGCTTGGGAACATCACGTGATATTGGCATTTTTTTTGCATTTTTATTATTATAACAAAAAAGAAAGGAACATTGAATGACTATGCAATCATATATGCATTGAATAATCAATAAATAATTCTTATTTTCATTACTATACAATAAGAACGAAATTTCAGAAGTGATAGAATCTGAGAATCACACACTCTTGAAATCCCTCTATCATATTTTAAGCAATTGTGTCGCCATCTTACAAACAGAGTTACTACTCCAACTAACTTTGTGATTGATGCCTTTCAACGTCGACATGTTTTGTACGTTTCTGAACAATTCTGGATTTCTCGAATAGAAACAATAAGCTCTTGTCCCTTTGCAGTTCGTTCTTGTTCGTCAAACTTTCTCCGAGTAGTCCGTTCTTCACATCGTAGTCTGCAATTGAGAAAGTCAACGACGTGTTACATTGGCAACATTGCTTGCCAAACGATCTTACGCTTATCAACTGTAGTAGACTGGAATAAATTGAGTGTGGAGTTGTCGCGAGTGATTACTAATAATACTTTATTTTCGTAACAGTTCTGAGTCAAGCGAAAAGAGAAGACCGAGTTTTGGTGCCGCGTCTTGGCTTTGGATAATCCATTTCTGAAATAAAACGAACATCATGGATGACTTACAGAATTATAAGCTGCAGCTTCAGCAGGTGTTGAGCCTTGTTTTTTTTCTCTTAACCTCGCGTAACAATCGATTGGATGCATCAATCTTACTCTTATTTATTCACTTACAATGTCTTCATGATGGACTGATTTGACTCCTACCTCTTTTCCATGTTCCAGGTGGAAGCGGCTCTCACGACAGATCCGAATAATGAAGAGTTGATAAAGCTGAAATTTGATCTGAAGGAAGTAATAAAACTGACACATGATTTAATTAAGTCACAGCAGCAGGAAAAAAGACAAGCTAATGGCATGGATGCTAAAGATCCTATTTTGCTTGCAGTTCTGGCCAATAAGTGGAAAGTCGGCGATCAATGTATGGCACCTTGGAGCGAGGATAACAAGTGGGTATCATTTACATTTTAGATTGGTTCTTCATCGATCTTTGAACTTGTACATACTGATATAATAAGTTGAAAACAGATATAGTTTGTCTTACTTATTGCATTATATGCATCAGTTTAGAGAGTTTTTCTATAAGGAGCATGGAATTTCGAAAAAATGAACCAAAGTCCTTCACACACATTTCTTTTTTATTCATAAAATAAAAGACTAGTTGGTTGATTTTCTTATGCATTATGCAAAACTATATGCTTTGGTCCTAAAGAACCTATCGTTTATAATTGATTCGAATTTTGATTAAGTTGTGCAAGAGAAGTCATATAAATCATATATAGCTTTGTATTAATATATCAAATGTTTTTTGAAAACTGGATATTTTACTTGAACTATTATTAAAACTTACAATATAACACAAAGGTGAAATTATTTACAGGACAAAATTCTAATCAGAAAGGATTTAGCAATATTATTTGCTTTACTTTTTAAATTTATTTTTCGGTTAATACTTGGATTTTATTTTAAGAAAATTTGAATTTTACTTTTATACTGTCAAACTTTATTTAATGTTGAATATTAATGAGGAAAGATCAAGAATATTATTAAAGCAAATATTAATTATGATATAAGTTGTAAGTAATCAAGTGTTTATGCGAAAAAATTGATAATTTGTTTTAAAGAAGGTACAATGATTATTCTGAAACATTTCGTGTAATTTTCTTTATATTACATCTTATACAATTTTATAGGTATTATGAAGCAACTATAGATGCAATAAGTGAAGATGGAATAGTAAATGTAACGTTCAATGAGTACAAGAACACTGATGTCACTATGCTCAGTCAGTTAAAGTCTGTTGCTAAGAGGCCAGCATCAGACTGGGCAGATCAAAAATCAAAGTAAGTCATTTTTATCTATGTCTATGATAATGTATCATTGTGAACCGATATAAAATATACCTTACCATTTTACATATGTCTGCCTTTATGAGAAACAAAAAAATATAAGGCGACAATTTACTAATCATTCATTTTTTCCTCCTGTCTCTCATTTCTGAATTGGCAACAATAACTCCACCATTGGTACGGTATTACGTCTGAAATATGTTCATTATTGTTCATTTATCCTTTGATGTTACGCGGTCTGTGTGCATCGTCGGGCTCCAGGAAAAGGTAACAAGGATTGTTCAATTCTTTGGTACCACATCTTTGAAAAACAAATTAATTATATGTGCAAAAAAATTGACAATTTTTTATCACATTCCATACACTAAATGGCAAAGTAATATATGTATTATTGTAATAATATATGTATTATTTTGCACTTTTATATCAAAATAAATGTGCTAATTTTTAATTGTAAGTAATTGGTACATACATCGAGATATATTAATACTTATATATATTAATCTTGATGTAAGTACTGATAAAAATATATAGAAATGTTATCGTTACTTTATATTTAATTTCGAATTGTCTCTATTTTACTCAAGTGATAGATTTATTTATTTACAGAAAAATGCAAGCAGCTGCAGTTGCGGGTTCGGATCCAAATAAGCAAAGGGAATATCTTAAGAAAAAGAAACAGAGGAAGTTACAACGATTCAAAGAACTGGAGGAGGAACGAGAATTGGAAAAGAACAAATGGCTAGCATTTACCAACAAGGCAATAACTAACTTCATTTACATAGCATATCCATAATATATTTAAATCATGTCTCTGTTATAACTATTGTTGTTCTATGCAGTCTTCGAAGAAAGGTGTCATAAAAAAGAGCATCTTTGCGACACCGGAAAACGTAAATGGTCGTGTGGGAATTGGTACCTGTGGGGTTAGCGGTCGAGAAATGACGAAGTTCAGTAATGGAGAGAAGTGGAGACGAGGAGCTTAATTAAATTATATGTAAATAGATGTACTGTAATTTGTGATGGAAGAGATAGAATTATCGTGAAATTATCATTATATTATAAAGACTGGTTCGTGAACGTTTCTGCAGTACGTGAGTGTACAATATGGCAATGTTTATAGGATTAGCGACAGTGAAGTGCGTCTAATATTTTGTCTTAGCAACACCGATTCTACCGACTTTCAAGACAATTTTGAATTTTTTACTATAACATAATTTAAAAGTAACTGCAGCGAATAAATGTATGTTTTTAGATTAATACATTTCCGTGAGATATAATTTGTTTACAATCTTATTGAATACAAATAAATGTATATTTTAACGTGCAGCTTCTTTGAAGATATTTTTATCTTTAAGAGAGTGTGGATGTATATGTGTAATATAAATATTAAGTAAAAGATTGAAAAAATATATATCTATAAATATTAATAACATTAATTATTAATAGATAAAAAGATTTTTGTAGTGTAATCTTGTTTTATTACTATTAAAATAGATTAATATTAAAATCAACCATTTAAAACTTGGCTTCCCATACAGTTCACTTTATCCAATGTACATCCTAGGAACATCATTAGTTTAGAGAGGATACAGAAATATCCTCTGCACATCTTCAGGATATCCCTTTGAATGTTTTGTATTGCATAATTGATGTTCAAGTTAAGCCAATAACATTCTTTAATTATCTTCAGTCTGTCGGACAAATCAAATTTTACCCATCCGGTCGTTGACATAGATCAGCAGCTACTGTTAGAGCATGAGAAAGTACCGATGATGTATATGAAAAATATTAAGAATTGAATTTCATGAAAGTTTGAAGTAAATAAATGAACAACATTGTGAAGATTGAAGGAATTGCAGGCAGGTAAAGAAAACAATAAGGATAAGTATTATATTTTTTTATTGGTAAATTTTCTAATTTTTTCTTTTCTTGTTTTTTTTTCTATTCATAAAAATTATTTGTTTATTAATTTCTCGAATTCTAAGATACGTTCGGGTCCTAACGAGACAAAGAATGACGGCGCGGAGTACATCGATTGTTTGCATATTTTCAATGACTATGTCGGTCAGTTCATTGAATATTTTTAGAGTTTTACGAAGATTTGTGCCATGAAATCTATCGAACTCAATATTGAGTATCCTCGCAGCCGCTATCATATCTTGAGACGGATATGACATTTACCCCGAGAAATAAATTGAATCCAATCGCCATTTATTACAACAGGCATTTGGCAAGTGGGGATTCCTAAATGTGGATATGTGAACTTAAATCTATACGCCATATATCCAGCCATATATTTAATGCCCTCGTCCTCTATTTTATTTATGGTGATAAAGTCATCGAGAGAAACCAAAAACTTTTCTTCTTTGGGGGTCGCAATATACATTGATAAATCGGAGGCATTATTGTTATTATCAATACCCAGATCGCATAATTCCTCGTCATTGTCTACCTCAAAATCGTTATGTATTATCACCTCATCCGACATCACGTATGATGTCATATTTTCGCTTAACACGTAACATTTATCGATAGTGATAGGATCTGCCTCGCAATTCGAAGAATCAATATTACAAAAGAGATCGACAGATTGCTTGCTTAAAATAAACCTTCGCAATCGGTATTTAAAATCTAGCGCAGTTGGATGTTCGTATGCACTACTACTTGCCCGTATAAAAGAAAAACAATTTTCCAAAATGTCTTGGTTTAGACGTCTTGTTAATATATAACTTATTTCGCAGTTAATATTAGAGCACAAATTCGTGACATATGATAATAATTGCTGCAAAGATTTATTGTTTAGCAGGATTTCTTTTTGGAAAGGAACCTTTTTGGAATTAAGGACTTATGTTTTCCAATTTTCATTGAACTAATAACACTCTCCATTTCTCTTAAAATGTCATTTTATTTTTCAATATCGGTTCAATATTTTTACCTCCATGCTTTTCGAATTTTGAGCTCGCATTGAAAACATCAAACCAATTATTGAACGTCCGAATAACTCGTGCCGTTTCCCGCCAGTGTAAATCGTTTAGGTACCTTTGTTGCCCATATCACTCAATGGCAGATGCTGTCAGTTCCGAAAACACCTGTACGGCAGGGAGTACCTTTTGTCGCTCTGGCCTCTGAACGTGGAGATGGTACTAGGAAATGTTAAATGAAACTTTGATGTTCCTAGCATTGATAGACAGAATTCGTTGTAGACAGCTCTTGTCTACGCAATGTTCTCCAACCATGAACCCACTGTCAAGGAAATGATTCCTTGCCAATTTTTTTTTTATTAGATGTGGCACATCTGCAAAAACATAAACTTTTAGATTTTCATTATTGGGGTGCTGAAAGAAACAGTTATGTGGTGCAATTCCTATATTAATTTCTGACCAGTGTCATGTTAGTCGGACCCATATCGCATGTCATAGCCACCACCGTATAACCTGCCTCGTATAATTGCGAAATTATAGAAAAAAGGATTTGTTTTAACATTGGCGTGTCATAATTGTAGTAAACCGGCTGTTTCCAGCTATTGAATAAACCCCGGGCCATAACGCACTGACACGTTTTGTGAGGCCCTACAACCTGCTCTAATTTACGATCAATACCTACTTTGTTACACAAGTAAACCTCATCGAAAGTTAAGATAATAAGCTTTTCATTCTCTTGCAAGCTTTTGCCCTTAAACTTCATGCAGTGTATTATAGCATTCAAAATACCCAGTTCTACTTTAATATTCAATGCTCACTTTCGAAGCGTTGATAGTGACGGTAAAGGTATTTTTTGAACGTTTCGAAGATAGCGGTAAGCTTTTGAGCTGACGCATCTTAATTCCATTGCACTGGCTATATTTTCGGAGGACCAGACAATGCGTTTCCGTTCCGAGGGATTTAAAAGCATCTTAATTTGTCCTGGACTGAAGACTATCTTTAAAACATCATACATCTTCGCCTCGTACTTATCCTTCTCTTCAGCTAGAGAAACTTTGAAGCACTTTATCATCTTTTTCATTTTTACATGTAGCATTTGTATAGTTTTCCTGAAAAACGATGACTTTTAGTTTATTTCCGCTATGTTTTGTATCTTTTTTTATTACATTCTATATTTTTATATCATAAAAATATAGAATGCACATTTGTATATTTGTTTGTATGTTTGTTTATTTATTTGTATATTTTCCTATATTTCTGTATTTGTCTATAGTATATATTTTTTGCATCACCTATGCAATTTGTCCTTCTCCGTGTACATCTTACACTTTTCTTTCAAAGCTGCCAATTTCTTCTGCAGTTTTTGTCTGAAAACATGGAATTAAATAAGAACGATATGTAATCATACGTATATATGAGTACACAAATGATTCTTTAGATAAGATTATTTTGTCACGACTGTATAGTTACTAAATAATTGTATTAACATAATTTTGAGCTGATGTAATGCACGTAAAACTTTTTTTAGTAATTGCAACAAATTTCTCTTTTCTTCTACATTTTATAAATTACCTTACGATGACATAAGTAAGAGCCGAGACGTATCATTTCAAACCAAAATAAAAATCAATATTTATTACGTTTTTATTTTTTTAATAAAGTACACCAATCTCATGAAAGAAAATATTACAAGAGTATGTCATTCTACAATGTTTACTACTCTTCTTTGAAATCAACGAACATTAACATGTTTGTGATAAAGCTCCATATGTATTAAACAACTAATATGAAGAGATAAGGGCAATGAGCCAATAATTTCGTTTAAAAATCTTTTAAATTAATCTAATATATATTGCGAAGAATATCACGTAATTATGGCGTTTCGTCCCAACTTCCACTACTGGACTCATCAGTAAGGCATTGTAGTGGAAGCCTATACCTTAGACGCCTGTTTAAGTTATTAAATCGAGATTCTATATATACAGATATACGCGTATCAAAGCACTTGCGAGAATTTTTAACGAATATCTATAGACCTCTGATGGCGGGTCGACGTAATAATATTCTTCGCAATATTTATTTTAAAGTAATATATGTAAATTCCCCTTCCACCCCCCCCC